TCCCTTTCTCAAAATCCTGCCCAAAGACTCACTTCCCACCCTGTTCCCACTCTTCCCGGTAGGCTAGTTTCCCCCAGACCCTGAGAAACAGAGATGCGCCTTGTCCACCCCCACTCACACTCCACGGTCAGCGTCACATCCTTGACTGCCTGGCCCTGGACGTTGGCCGCAGTGCAGCGGTAAGTGCCGGCGAGAGCGCGAGTGACCGGACCCAGCAGGCCCAGCGCCAGCACCGCCCCGCTGTCAGGCCGCTCGCAGTGCACGGAGGGCGTGGGGTTTCCCCGGGCCTCGCAGCGCAGCGTCTGCTCTGGGCCCTCGGGCCACGTCCAGCTCCTGGGACAGTCCGAATCATCCAGCCGAGGGGCGTCTGCAGGCAGGGGCGTGGGACACTGAGAAGCTAGACGCGGTCCTCGAGGGAGGGCCCCGACCAGGGATCCGACAGGCCCTTGGAAGTCACGAGGTTAAAGGGGCAACTCACATAGGACGCGGAGTTCCGCGCTCTTGTTCTTGCTTAGAGTCTCCCCTGCCACCTCGAGGACGGCGTCGCAGAAGAAGCTGCGCTCGTCGTCGTCCTCGGTGGCGTTCAGCTGAAGCTGGGCGGGCTGCCCGGGGACCTCCGCTGGAATTCCGTCCAGCGTGACCAGGGCTCCGGCCCCAGCCGCGCAAGTCACTGTCACCACCTTCCCCTCGGGGGCGCTGGGCTCGCTCAGGGTCAGGACCGGCGCGGGAAAGCCTGGGGACCGGGCAGGGGCCAGGCGTCCGCTGACACGCTCCTCCTGCGGGTCCAGGCTGCCCGGGATCCGCCTGAACCCTCCGGGTTCCGCTGCCTAAAGCTCCGCCCCCTGCTCGCCCCGCCCCCTTGAGGTGTCCGGGCCACCTCTTCCCGGGGTCCTCGCTGGGTTTGCGACGTCCCCCTTCCGGCGGCTCAGACTTCGCCTCTACAGCTATTCAACCTGGGTCCTCCAACTTTCCCACCCCTTGGGGACTCTCGGACCCGGCGATTCCCACACTAAGCCCCGCCCACTCTTTGCCCCGCCTCCCCGCCCCTCCCGCTCCACCCCTGAGCCGCGGCCGCCGCGCTTCACTCGCTCTTACTGTAGACGGTCACGTTCTCCCGCGTCTCGCGGCTCTCGCCCCCCAGGGTCACGCTGCAGACCAACTGCCTGGCGCCCTCCTGTTCTGCGTTAGCTGTGGCCTTGGCGGTGGCCACGAGCGCGTCCCCCTCCAGCGTGATCTCGGGACTCAGCCTGTGGTCCCCCAGCGCCAGGTACACCCCAGCCTCCGAGGCTGGAAACAGCTCGTCCAAGGTGCAGCTCACGGGTCTTTCTGAGCCCACTTCCAAGAGCCGGGGGGCGGCGAGGCGCGGGGGGTCCGGAGACAGGGCTGGGAGTCGAAGAACGGAGCTTGAGTATATGCGCTGAACACTAGAAAAGTCCTAAACGCTTACAGGCATCGTCTTATCGTATTAGCCTCAAGGCATAGAGAGGAAAACAACTTACAGCTGGTGTATGTTGGAGTGAGAACCGGAATTCTGATTTCTCTGCCTCCAAACTTAAACATTCGCCCGACCCCTTTTCGTGCCCTTCTGCTCCCTACACCCACTCACCGAACGTACGGAGCTCTCTAGCGGCAGAGCTGTTTTCAAACAGCCCCAAGCCGTGCGGCCGCAGGTCCAGCTCCGCGCGGCAGGAGAAATTGGCCCCATGGTCCTCCCTTCGCGCCAGTACGGTAGCTGTGAGCACCGCGCCCCGCGCTCGGGGAGGCTCCCCCGCGAAGCTGCGGCGGATGAGCTCCTGCGCGCCCCGCAACAGGGTCAATGTGAGGCTCCCACGAGGTCCAGCTCCTGGGACCCTACAGCTCAGGGTGAAGTTCTCGCCCACAGGCTGCCAGGCAGGTAGCGGTACCAGCTCTACGCGATCCGGTCGCTCTGCAAGGGGGGAACCACCGCTCTTGGAAACGCCGGGGCTCGGACCGAGGTGGCGTGGAACCCAGGGGCCCAGAGGCGGAGAGCGTGGGGATTCAGGGGGTGGAGCCAGAAGGGGAGGACCCTGTGACCCAGGGGGCGGGGCTTGGAAGGAAGGGAAATAGTAGAGTGAGAACTTGGCAGCTGAGAACTCACGGAAAGTGCGAATGAGCCCACGCGCCTGCAGTGTGCGCCGCGCACAGCGGAAGAAGCAGACCGGCTGGGTCTCCGGCTCGCGGATGTCCACCAGCTGCCGCGCCAGCCAGCGCAAGCCCCTCTGGGTCCCATTCCGGCGCAGCGACGTCTCCAGGCCACCGCGCTCAGGTCGTGGGCAGTTGGTGCTGCAATTCAGCCACAAAGATCCCCCGCGCTCCACGAGCGCCACGCGGGGCTGCAGGTCCGCCCAAAAGGGCTCCTGCGCGACCGCTGCCCAGGGAAACGTGGGCTCAGCCTGGGGAGCCACCTCCCTGGGATCTTAGTGCCCCTATGTCGAATCAGGGATTCCTGGGGAATTAATTAGCGGAGGCCACAGCCAAGGAAGAACTCGGGAGTCCCGCGTCCTACCCCAGGTTCGGAGGCTCGCTCCCCGGGTTCATACCTCGAGGGCATCTCTGGGACATGGCAGCAGAGAGCCCTGATCTCCAAGGTGCCGACGGAGTGATGGGAAACCATGGGGGGAGGGGGGATGAGATGTAAGACGGGGTCTTTGACGCACACAGCAATGATGGGAGGAGGGGACCTCGCGTGGAGGAAGGAAAACGAACTGGTTCTCAAGGCTTTTGCCAGGGAGGGGGAGACAGGTTGAGGAGAGGGCAGAGAAGAGATGAGGCTGAGTCAAGGATAAATGAGGACCCCGAACCCGGGAGAAGACCAGGAAAGAAGACTCGAGGCTGGACTCTTGGAAGGAACCGCGGTAACAGCTGAGGGACTCGGTTGCCAGGGCTCCGGATGGAGCGCGAATAGCGCCTCTGAGTCACAGCAGTTGGGGAGATCGGGTCTTTCCAGACCACGACTGAAGAGGATGTCAGTCCGTGGACCATGGAGCACAACGGAGCGTGGAGAGGCACCCCGGAAGGGGACAAGGGAGACACGGGGTCTCCGGGGCATGAGATGGGTGCGGAAGAGCACCCAGGATCTCGAAGAGGGTAGGATAGAGACCTGGGCGAGCGAGGGGTCTGGCAGCTGGGTGTCCAGTGTGTGTTGGTGGGAAGAGGGATGAGGGAGAGGCCTGGGCGCAAGGTGGGCAGAGGCGTGGGAGTGGAGCGAGGCGAGGGCGGAGCTGGGAGGGGCTTGCGGCCGCTTAGATGGTCCGGGAACTCCGCCCCCGCCCTGTCCACCCCGAGTCGGGACCGGGCTCTTACCTGAGAGGCCGAGGAGCCCCAGGCCCAGGGCAGCCCAGAGGCCGAGCGACGCCCGGCACAGCCCCGGCGAGGGCCCCGGCATCGCCGCCGCGGGGGGAGCGCAGGAGGCGAGGAGAGCGCGAGCGCGGAGCTGGGCGAGAGGACGGCGCGGCGGGTGGGTTGTGGAGGAGGCAGAGTTGCGTTCGGGGATTGGTTTAACGTTGGTAACTTGGTTTCCAAGGAGGGGGCGGCGGCAGAGGCGGCTGGGGGGCGGGAGGGCGAGCGTGCTCCAGGCTCCCGGCCTTGGCGAAGGCGTGCAGGCAGCAGCGAGCGACCCCCGGGGTCTACGCCGAGGCCCGCCCCATCGCCCGGAGCCTTCTGGGGGCGGCCGCGCGCTCCCGCGTCATCCTCGGCGGCGAAGCCGAGGTCGGGGGATGCTGGGTGGCCCTTCTCAACCCCCCACCCTACCCCGGGCTTGGATGCTGTGGTAATGAGCTGGACTCAGAGCTCCGCCCCCATAGTTAGTTTCCTCCACCCCCTGCCTCCCCTCCCCGGCGCCCCTTGGGCAGGGGATTGGCTTGAGCGCTAGGAGAGATCTGCAGAGCCGGATGGGGGAAGGCACAATTCTAGGGAAGGGTGTGGGGATGCCTCCCTCGCCGATCCTTCTCCTTTTGACCCGGAGAGGCGAGGGTTACAGCCACGCCCCTAGTCCCCCTCCGGCTCCGCCCCCGCACGCGACAGAGGGGGTGGGGACGAAAGTGTCAGCGAGTCGGGAACACGTGTGCGTGCGCGCAACGTTCGCGGGCGTCTAAATTAGGGTCGGCTCTGCTCTGGGTCTGTATTTACCCAGCGTGCAGCGGGCACGTGTCTACGCGGCGTGTGTGAACGCAGGCCGCGGAGGAGCGCCCCTGAACCCGCCTTCCGCGCGGTGGGCGGGGCTCCGGACCGCACCAGCCCTCCCAGAAAGGCAGTGCAGGCCCGGCTTCTGTGTCCACGCGAGACCGAGAGACCAGCGATGACATTTCGACCCCTGCATCCGGGCCCCAAGCTTCGACACCCCCCGCAAGTGCCCACCAGGCCCGGTGACTGTCAAGACGTTGCGGGGACGCGAGTCTGTGACACCCCACGTGGGTTATTCCTTCCCCGCAGTCAGCACAGGGGCACCTTTTCTTCGCATCTACGTCCCCCAGGGTGTCATGTGACCCCGTCCAATGGCGCTCCCACCGCCTGCGCTAATGGTGAACTGTGGGGGGTCAGTTGTCGCTCCACCCTTGTCCTCCAGGAAAGTGCTGGGTCTGAAAGTGGAGGGGGGGCGGGGGATGGGAAGGAAACTTCATATCCAATCAGAGCTGCTGCGTGGCGGCGGCGGAGCCAATCGGGAAAAATCCTGCGGAGAGCCAACCCTCGCCCAGCCCGAAGCCCTCCAGGGCACCAGCCATGCCCATTTGCACCCCACTGATAGTGACCGCAGGGGACGCAGGCTACCACGCTGGGCTGGGATGCCGAGGGACCGGGGCGCCTGGGTCCCCAGGTGGATGACAACGAGGGACCTGGAGAAGGTGATCGAGGCAAGGCCAAAACGAAGACCACTTCTTACTAGCGGGGGAACCTTTAGGCCGTGGGACAGAGGCTAACTGAGGAGGGCTTAATTTTTTTTTAAGATTTCTATTTATTTATTCATGAGAGACACACACAGAGAGGCAGAGACATGGGCAGAGGGAGAAGCAGGCTCCCTGCGGGGAGTCCCACGTGGAACTCGATCCCAGGATCCCGGGACCGCGACCTGAGTCAAGGGCAGCTGCTCAACCCCTGAGCCACCCAGGTGCCCCTGAGGAGGGCTTTATTGAATCAGTCAGGGCTCTCTAGATTGTTTCAGGTTCCTCTTTCCTCCGGCCCAGCTGGCCTGCACCACCCGCCTACGCACCCCGGGACTGCATCAATAGCCATTTTCGGCAGTAGGTGGCCCCCACGACGAGAAGGATCCCCACCAGGGCTGCGATGGAGGTGGAGGCCAAGGCTTTGGGCGCGGGGCTCCAAGCTGGGGACAGGAGATGAGAATTAGGAACGGGGCACATGGAGGTATGACGCCCCCCACCCCCGCCTGGAGATCATGCGTGGCTCGACCGCCCCACTGGCGTCACACCCTGCCCCACCCCTCCTCGGGTCTCCAGGATCACAAACGGGCCTCACCGAGGACTGGGAGCGTCATGGGTGCCGAGCTGCTGCGGACCACCAGGCCGTCAAGATTTAAGCGTGCGTGGCAGGTCACTGTCTGCCTGAAGTCTCGGCGCCTGGCGGGTAACTTGTAAGTCAGCGTCACGTTGGCCAGATCAGGGCTGGTGTGGCGCTTCAGGTTCTCAGAGTAGATGACCCGGCCGCCAAGCCTCAGAGTCACCACCAGGAAGCCCACGGGGAATACGTGCGTCAGGTGGCAGCGCAGCGTGTACTCGCTGCCCGCTAAGACCGGCGGCTCCAGGATCACTCTTTGCGGCCGTTCTAGAGCAAGAGGGGGCCTCTGAGCCAGGTCCGCGTGCGCCCCCTAGCGCGACTGGTAAATGCCCCCCTCCGCTCCCCTCCCCTCGCCCCAGCCGGGCCGGAAGCCCGGTCCCTCACTGTAGGCGGTGATCGTGGCCGTGGCCCCCCGCGTCTGTCCTGCGCAGGTGACGAAGCAGTGCACCTCGGAGCTCCAGGCCCTCACGTCCAGCAGCTGGTAGGATACCCAGCCGGGCCCCCGGAGCGTTCCGCCCCGCCGCAGCCGAGTGCTGAGGCCGGAATCCTCCGGCAGGGGGCAGCTGCTGCTGCAGTTGAGCCACACTGAGCCCCCCGGCGGCACGGCCTTGAACTTGGGGCTTATGCGCACCCAGAACGGCACGGAGGTCCCCGAGGGCGCCGGGGAGCTGCCTCCCCGGCCTGGCGCCGCTGCAGCCCGGCGCCGCCGCGCGCTCCCGCCTCCCGGGTCGGCGGCCGCCAGCAAAAGCAGCAGCGACAGGGGGAGCAGAGACCCCATGGCAAAGGGCCCAGACTGAGGGGCCCCGCGCCAGGGAGCCAAGGCTGGCTCTGGAGATAAGAGGCCTGCAGCCCCGCCTCCGCGGCTCCACCCAGAGACAGAGGCCCCCCGCCCCCCAGGGCCTAGGAGCCCCTCCCTCAGCTCAAGAACGGGATTCCAGACCTTTGTAAAAGCAAACGTCAGAGTTTTCTGGAGAGAGGAATCTTTAATTTTCGCTGGAGTCTCAAAAGGTCCTAACAAGCCCCAGATTTGGATTAGAGCCTCAGGGGTGGGCCTTGAACCGGCAGCCTTTTCTTGGGGGAGGAAGTGGGAGGTTGTGGCTGGAAAGAACTCCCAACTGGACAGGACACCTCCCCTCCACTCACACAAGACAAGCGCCCACAGACAAGCTTTATTACTACAAGAGAGAAGCTTCTGGAGCTGGGACAGGAATCCTCGCGGGCCTCTTCCGCCAACTGCCTGCAGGGCCCTCATCTCTGCAGGAATTTGGGGCTGCCAGAGTGCTGTGTCCTTGTATGGTGCCACCGAGATGGAAACAGGACCAGGCAGGGACACATAGAGGTTGGGCAGTTTCATGGGACTCCACCGTTTAGCTGCCAGTGAGTGGTCATTCGTGTTCAGGCATGCCGCGATGTCATTGTGAGCACTAGTAGAGATGCGTATGGGGAGAGAGACGGCTAACAGAGGTCAGTGTCAGTGACGGGAAAGGAGTACGCGCTCAGTGGGTTGTCCCTGGGCATGTCGCCAACTAAACTGTATCACCATTGCCAGTCCTCCTCTGGAGGAAAGCAGCTTAGCCAATGGAATGGGAAATTCCAGCCCTGCTTGATCTTTTTGCCAGGCACTCCTGTGCAGTGCACAACTAGTACAACTGTACCTGGCAACCCTGAATAAGGTTAGACTGAGAGCTCCCTGAGGACAGGAACCTACTTTCCTCTTCTTTACCGTTCTAGCCCACATAAAAGGCACTCAATAAATAGCTGGTAAAAGAACAAATTAATAAATATGTCATTATCAAAAGTTGAGGAAAATCAGTGGACAGCAGGGCATGGGTCAGAGGAAGTATAGGGATATGTGTTTCCGTGCTGTTTCTGTTTGTGCAGACCACTTCTATCTTAGGACTGTAGGGCCTCAGCACATGCAGTAAGGGTGAAGTTTCGGGGTTTCCCAGTTGGGCGTCCCATGCTGAGTGTTCCACTACATACACCCCCTCTAGACAGGTCAGGCTTGGACATCCATCAGAGTCATGCCCCAAGTCCTGCCCCTTCCTTGTGGCTCAGTCCTGAGGCTTCAGGTCAGGTGTGAGGCTTGAGGACCCTTAATGTGCAGGTGCCAGGACCCCAAATGCTGTCTGTATCCTGAGGCCTCTACCCTGTCCTCAGGCATCCTGGGAAGGTGAGTGGCTTGTGACCACCGTTGTTCATTACGGCACCGCTGCCAGTGTGACACTGCTGCCACCGAGTGGGGGGCAGAGGAGGAGGCTGGGTCCTGGCCCAGGTTCAGGGGGGCGTGGCCGGTGTGTTCAGCTTCATGGCAGCTGCCTCCTGGGCCTTCTGAAGCTTGTATTTCTGGATCTTCCGCTGGCGGTTATAGAGGTAAGCGGCTACACTCACGGTTCCTAAGATGACAATGGTTGTCACCAGGATGATGATAAGAATGTTGTTCTGGTGGTCTGTAGGGAAGACACAGAGGGTTGAGCTGGGCTCACTAACCCCTGCTCCGCCCAGCCCCAAACACCCGCACACTCACAGATCACGTTGATGACCACTTCTCGGGTGATCTCACCACGGGGGCTCCGGGCCTGACACAGGTAAGTGCCAGCAACCTCCCGCTTGACTGGTCTCAGGTCCCCGATGGGCAGCAAAGCCTCATCCCCCTTCCGGTGACATTTCAGCTCAGGAATCGGGTTCCCCCAAGCTTGGCACTTCAGGGTCTGATAGGAGCCTTCCTCCCACGTCCAGTTTCCCAGACAATCCCTCTGGTCTAGTCGGGGACCATCTAGAGAAATACAGCAAGATGAGGGATGGGTGAGGGACCAGGACACCCCTTGCCACCTACAGCTGGAGGACTCAGGAATCCGGGGAGAGGGCTGGAGGGGCCCCCAGAGGGCAGGAGCTCATGAAGTCTTAGGGTAACCCCTAAGGATCATTGTCCAGTGGCCTCACTCACACAGGACGTGGAGCTCCCGGGTCTTGTTCTTTTGCAGCACGTGCCCAGCCACCTCCAGGGCAGCAGAGCAGGAGAAGCTGCGCCTGTTGTCAGCAGCGCTGGCATTTAGTTGGAACTGTGCCCTGGGTACTGCAAGCCCCGAAGGGAGCCCGCTCAGCGACACCACGACTCCAGCAGGGGCCTCACACTCCACAGTCACCGTAGTCCATTCTGAGACCTCTGGCTCACTCAGGGTCAGGTTGGGTGCCGGGAAGCCTGGGGACGGGCATACAGTGAGCACGACCCCCAGGACTGGTCCCACCCCATGGAAGCCCCACCCTGTCTGTCTTTACTTACTATAGAAGGTCACATTCTCCTGCCACCTCCGATTCTCGTCTCCCAGTGTCACCTCACACCATAGCTGCTGGGTACCCTCGTCTTCTGGGTTTGCTTTGACATTGGCCATGGCCAAGAGGGATTCCTTGTTGTACAGGACTGTGGAGGGCAGCCTCTCTTCTGCTAACACCAGGTGGACTTGGGCCTCCGAAGCTGGGAACACCCCATCCAGAGTGCAGTCCACAGACCACTGTGTGCCCACTTCCACAATCGGGGGGGTAGCAAGGCGTGGGAGGGTCTCTGGCAGGACTGGAGAGAGAGGGTGGGTGTGAACACAGGGGACAGGCAAGCTGAAGCCCTTTTCTGGGACATCCTCTTGCCAGAAGACTCTGGCCTGGGTCACCCCTGTCCTGGCACACATGCCGGGTTCCAGCCTTCTCAGAAGATCCTGCAGCTGGGGCACCCCATCCCAGACCACCCCACCCCAGTGGCCAAGTATATGCTCTTCCCAGAAGGCTTTGTAATCTAGGTCACCACCTTAGCGCCCCCACGACCAGAGGCCTCTCTCCCCCACACCCCAAGCAGGAACATCCCCTGAGCCCATCCTTGCTGGCAGCTCCCCAGGGCCTCACCAAAGGTTCGGAGCTGCCTGGGCGCCGAGCTGTTCTGGAACAATCCCAGCCCTCGGGGCCTCAGGTCCAGGTCCGTGCGGCACGAGAAGTTGGCGAGGTGGTCCTCTCTGCCCACCGCCACCGTGAACGTGACCTCGGCGACCTCGGCCGGCTCCCCGGCCAGTTGCCGGCTCAGCTCCTCCTCCCCGCGGAGCAGCACCACCGTGAGGTTGGTCCGGGGCGCCCCGCCTGCCACCTGGCAGGTCATGGTGAGGTTCTCACCCACGGGCTGCCAGCGGGGTAGGGGTGCCAGCTCCACTCGCTCCGGGAACCCTGGGTGTTGAGGGGGCAAGGGTGGGGGGTGTGAGCTGGACAGGCTGCCTGCTGCAGGGGGCGCTGGGGCGCCGGCTGCACCTGTTCCGGGAGCCCCGCCCCTCTCCTCTCTTCACAAACACTCCCCAAACCACCTAAGCCAGACAGGAATGTTAAGAGCTTCAGGATAAACCCGTGGGAAGTCCCCAGGTGGCTGGGAAGGGGGCAAAACATTTCTTTATCCACTGCAGCATCTGAGAGTGAGAAGTGGAAAAGAAACTCAAAATCTATGGTCAGGAGTCCCGACAAATCAGAAAATGTAAGCTTCCTTGTCCAGTAAAGATTTTTTTTTTTAAAGTCCCCTGCTCCCCCTTCCTCTCACCTCCAGCACCAGCTGACATCCGCGGGTGACACAGCTACTCAACCTGTTTCCCTCCTATGCCCCACCCCCCAGGAGGCCTGTCAGCCCAGGAGGGTGGAGGTCTTTGCTTTGCAGAGCAGCTCTCTACATTTACAGAAAGAATAAGTCTGACCTACCCACACAGATTCGAGGCCTTTCAGAAGCCCCCTTTAAAGGGAAAGAAGGGGCAGCCCGGTGGCTCAGCGGTTTAGTGCCGCTTTCAGCCCAGGGTGTGATCCTGGGGACCCGGGATCGAGTCCTGCGTCGGGCTCCCTGCATGGAGCCTGCTTCCCCCTCTGCCTGTGTCTCTGCCTCTCTCTCTCTGTGTCTCTCATGAATGAATGAATAACATCTTTAAAAAAAATAAAGGGAAAGAAGTTCCTGAATGTGCCATGTGAACCCTGTAAATGTCAAAAAAAAAAAAAAGGCAAGAATAACCCACAGGCACTCAAAATGAAACTCTGAATATCCCCTGAAAACACAACACGTGGGCTCAGGTTTTTGCATGCCAGGGTCTCTGCTCCCAGTGAGGTAAGAAAATCTCAAGCCTGGGCTGCTGGTGAAAGTTGGGAAAGTCCACCATTCCTGTCCCAAGAGCCCCCACAGTGTCTCATGGCAAGGCTGTTAAGGTGTCCGGGGTCTGTGTTTGAGTCCTAGTTTTGGGGCCTTGGTGCCATGAGCTGTATGCGAGTGACTTCGCCTCTGGAATAGTTTTAGAAATCGAGCCTCTGTTTCCTGAGCTGTAAAATGGGTTATTAGAGGTAAGACTTGTATGGATCCATTTGAGAGGTAGAGAGAATGACTATAAATGGGCATGAGGTTTCTTTTTAGGGTGATGGAAATGTTCTAAGATTGTGATGATGCTTGTACAACTCTATAAATATGTTAAAATGTGTTGAATCGTACACTTCAAAGGGTAGACTTTGATGCTGTGTATATGACATCTCAGTAAAGCTGTGTGAAGAAATAAAAGGGTGAGAAACCCCTCAGACGTCCAGCGCTTACCTCTAAGCACCTGCTGCGAAAATGAGTTTGTAGAACTGCGGTAAACCTCAAACCTTGGCCTATCCCCGCTCCCCAGGCCCAAAATGAAACTCACTTGTCTGAGCCCAGCTCTTTGCCTCTTAAGGCCAGACTGGGGGAGGAGGTCTGTCCTGCTGGTACCCTTCCCTGATCCCCAACCTTCGGTCCTGGTTACTTCACTCTTCAAATATTTGTCTGCCCTCCCTTCCTGTACCCAGCCACTGCCCACACATGTGGTCTGGACGAGGTCCAGGCCAACTGCTGTCTGGCCTCCCATAAGATCAGCCTTCCACTATCGAGATCCCTGGCCTGCTCACACACCCTCCATGGCTCCCTATCACCCTGAGAGGGTCCCAGCTCCTCGACCTGGCATTTGAGGTCCTGCCCACCTCAGCTCTAGCCACACCGATCTGTTGGTAATCAGCTCCTCCTAATGCCCCCCTCCTCTGCCCCCAGCATGTTTTCCCACTCAAACCTTTGTCTAGGCTGTTCCCTCTGTCCTGTGTGTCTATGGACTCCTACTCACCCTTGAGGTCCAGTTAGAGGTCACGTCCTAGAGGAGTTAACACCTTTATTCTTTCCAGAGAAAGCTCAGCCACCCTGGGGATCTTGCCTCATCTTTACACTGGGGGGGGGGGGCAAGGTCAAGCTAGATGGAGTGTCTCCTGGGGGACCCCTCTACTGCGTAACATCTGTTCCATTTGGTAGAGCTGGGAACTAAGGCAGAGTCTGGTATCCAGAGTCACAGGGAGAAATGTGGCAGAGACAGGACTCACACTCGGAGCACTGGGCTCTCCGCTATCAGGCCGAAAGGGAGAAGTCCTTTGGGGAGGTTTGCCTGGGGTTTCACAGGCCACCCGGAATGTTTGGGGACTCCCCTCACCTGGCCAGGAGCTGCCCAAGCATGCTCCAAGTCACAAGCAAAGCTGCTACTTTCCCAAAGGCTTCCTTTGCCCAGGCACCATGAAGGTGGAATGTCCTTTTTGCCTTCACAGCAAAATTATACCCATGCGAGGAGGTCTCAGGGGAAAGTCACTCAACAAGGCATGTCCCCCACAGTCACCCAGTTAGTTAGGGCCATGCAGGGATTGGAACCGGAGGCTGGCTAATCCCAAAACCAATCGGCCAGCTCTTCCTTTTTTTTTTTTTTTTTCCTTCCTTGTTTGCTTTGTTTTGTTTTCATCTGAACTTATTTTTTTAAAAAAAATTTTTTATTTATTTATGATAGTCACACAGAGAGAGAGAGAGAGGCAGAGACACAGGCAGAGGGAGAAGCAGGCTCCATGCCGGGAGCCTGACGTGGGACTCGATCCCGGGTCTCCAGGATCGCGCCCTGGGCCAAAGGCAGGTGCCAAACCGCTGCGCCACCCAGGGATCCCTCATCTGAACTTATTTATGGCTGATGGTGACAGTAAGTCTCACGGTGCAAAATGCCCAGAGTCAAAGAAGGCACATCAAGACGACTCACCCTCGGCCCTCTCCCAGAGTGGCCCTCCCTCAGCTTCTGTCCTCACGGCCAGCTAATATTGTCATTTCTTGCATTTCCTCCCACGGCTCCTTCATGTGTCAACACTGGCACCCCTCACCCCACGGTGCTGTTCCTTAACACCCAGGATGGCATGCCACTCATTCTGGGCGTACCTCCCTTCTTCTCCTTGGAGTACACCCTTGGAGCTCATTCTTTTTTTTGGGACACAGGAGCTTCCTCATTCTATTCTATTTTATTTTATTTATCTTATTTTCTTATTTTTTCTTATTTTATTTTTGCCTAGCTGCATACTATTCCATCACACCGTCAAGCTACAGTTGGTCTCCCCAGCTCCCTGCACCTGAGTGGCTTGCAAACTTCTGCCCTTAATAAAACCACAGTGAAAAAGCACATCCTGCACCCCCCTCAGTACCCTCGTGGATGGGGACCCACGGAAGCCCGATTCCCAGGAGTGGGATTTCTATGTCAAAGCATGCACACGTACGTCATTTAGAGAACTGACACCCACTTCTCCGCTCGGGGTTACGCTTCCTGATCCTCCCACGCCGTCAGCAATGTCTCAGGACCGCCTGCTTCCCCACAGTCTTGCCAGCACAGCTGTTAGCAATTCTTTTGATTGTTGCCAATATGTGACAAAATGCCATCTCCAGGCTACTTTTAAATTGCCTCTCCTTTTAAAGAATCATATCTAGGGACACTTGGGTGGCTTAGTGGTTGAGCATCTGCCTTCGGCTCAGGTCATGATCCTGGGGTCCTGGGGTTGAGTCCCGCATTGGGCTCCTGCTTCTCCCTCTGCCCATGTCTTTCCCTTTCTCTCTCTGTCTCTCATGAAAAATAAGTACTATCTTTAAAAAAATAAAGAATCACATCTATGATCTGTCGCACATTTAAAGAGGCCTAGAGGTGCTTGGGATGTACTGAATCTCTGTAATATGTGCTAAATGCACCCCAGAAAATTCCAGAAGGGGTTTCAAATGACAATGAGGCTTTCTCAAGATGGGCCCACCAGTCCTTCGGTGAGTCAGCTCTGGCCCCACCACCAAGCAACAAGGGCTGTCCCAACCTGCGGGGACCCCCAGGCACCCACCTTCACCACCCAGCCTGCCTAATCCAGCCCCTGGACCCAGCCACTCACAGTATACGGTGAGGTGCATCGGAGCCATGGTCTGCTCGTGACAGTTTGAGAAACATATCAGCTTGCTATCTTCTTGCACATCACTCAGTTCAAAGAGCATCCAGTTGTCCCCAGAGGCGATTTCCTTCTTAGTCAACAGAGTCTCCAGGCCGAAGATGGAGGTCTGGTTGCATGAGGTACTACAGTTCACCTGCACAGAGCCTCCTCGGGGTATGATGGCTTCTGCTGGGTCCACGGACGTCTGGGCACCTCCAAGTCCTAGAACAAAAGATGCAGGAGGGGCCAGGCATTAGACACTGGGTTCATCAACTAATCACCAGGTACTCAGCCAGTGCTGGGGGCGGGGCACAGAGCCTTAAGCAAGACAAAACTCTGCCTTTGGAGCGGGAGACAGAAAAATTCATAGGCAAACAAGATAATTAATAACTGATGTTAATATGAGCTTTGACAAAAACAAAACAGGGTAACAGAACGGACAGTGCCTTGGCTACAGGATAACATGTGAGTGATGAGAAGGGGCTGGCCATTCAGATAACAGAGATTAATTCCAGGCATAGGGAACAAGTGCAAAGGCCCTGAGACAGGGTAGCTGGAACAGAGTGAGTGAGGGGGAAGAGCTGGGAGAAATGAGGTCAGGAAGACCATGTGGGCAGGACAGGCCATGCCAAGGACTTGTTCTTCATCTCGGGGGCCATGGGAAGCCATGTAGGACTTCAGCAGAGGAGGAGAATGGAGTCAGAGTTCTTCTCCCTTCGAAGATGTGAGATAGAGGGGCGCTAGCCCTCCAGGAGGGGAGAGGTTCCAATTCAGCTGGCTCCCTACTCCCTCCGCCAAGTGGTCACCCCTCTCCAGGCCTCAATATCCCCATCTGTAAAGTGGATGAATACAGTCATCCCAGCCCCTGCTAATGCAACCGACTCATAGCACAGGGCACACAGTGAGGGGCTGCAGGGAAGAAGGGCAGCTGGAGTGGTTAGCTTCCTCAGACCCGGGGGCCTCCGAAGCTGAAAAAAGTCTGTCTGGGCCCATCCCTTCTATCCGTCCTCCTAAGATTCCTGTCCACTGCTTTGGGTGGGGCGGAGGCCCGGGGAAATCAGCGGCTCTGTGAGTTCTCCAAAAGTAATGTGATGGTTCCCATTTCACAGAAACGGTAAGGCTGGGAGAGGGAAGGTGACTCACCTAAAGAGCAGTAGAATCCAGATATCCAGACAGCATCATCGGGACTAGAACCCTTTGTCCAGCTGGGAACCACAGGGGGCCCTTTCCTACGATGGTGCTTCCCAGCACCCGGCCACCAGGTGTGACCCACCCTCTCGTTTGTCCCTTCCCTCTCGCCTGGAGTCAGTGGAGGGGTCCTGCTCTCAGCCTCTGGTCCCTGGGCAAGCCAGCCCTGGAATTCCCCTGAGCAGAAGCAGTCCCGGACTTCCCCAGGGGCAGGGGATGGGGAACAGAATGTGCATGTGTTGGGGGGGGCGGGGGGTGCTGTCCCCAGCCTTCTCAGCCTGGCGCAGACCCACCCCTCTGCCGTCTGACCCTCCTGGAGCCAGACGGGGCGTCGAGCCACCACGCAACCGTGTCGGGGAGGCCGCTCTTGCGATCTCCTTTCTACAGCTGAGAAACTGAGGCTCTGGGAGGCTCAACGCCGAGCTTGAGGCCACCGGGCGAGGCGCGACGCAGGGCCTGGATCCGAACCCACCGCCGCTGGCCCGCAGCGGCCGGTGAACCGCTCCCTGAGTGCGATCCCGGCTTCTCCCGCGCCGGCCCGGACTCGGTCCTCCCGGTGCGCCCAGGGCGCAGCCTGGACCCCGGGAGTCGGCGCGACGGCAGCCCCCCCCGCGACTCACCTGGGAGCAGAGCCCCGAGGAGGGCCAGGAGCGCCGGCAGCGCGGGCGGGGCGGGGCCGGGGGCCATCGCGGGCGGGCGGAGGCGGGCGGCGCGGACTGCGCTCCCGGCGCGCGCGGGACCTTTTATAGTGGCCCGGCTCGGGGGGGACAGAGGGCGGGGCCACTTTCCCGGAAACCTCGCGGCTTCCCCTCCGGAAGGTGGCTCTGGCGTTTCCGGACGGAGAGGGTTGGGGGCCCAGGTCGTGTGGTACCCCTAGCTGGCCGTTCGAGGGCTGGAATTTCCGAATTGAAGCAACGAGGGCCGCGGCTGCCGGCGCGCCCCGGGGACGGCTCCCGGCGCTGGGGCTCGCGTCGGGGCCGGGCTGCCCCGGGTTCTGCGCTGACGCGGCGCTAAGAGCTTTACTGAGGGCCGCAGACTCACCCTGGACGGTAGGGCCAGTGGCTGTGCCCGTTCCACAGAGCGGTAAACTGAGGCTCCGAGCTGCGAGGGGCCAAGTGTGACGCCCCGCCGCACGCAGGCCTCTTTAGCCCAGTGGAGGGGCCCGGGCTTGGGTGCGGGCCCAGGAATCCCGTCTGGGCGGTCTCGATCAGGGGTGCCCCTCCCCAAGGGACACGGCCCCCGCCGCATCAGCTGATTTCCCCGAGAAGCGGCAGGAACAGGCCCGGGCGTATTCTGGCGGCCGCGAGCCCTGGGGGTGAGGACTAGCCGCGTCATCACGTCCGGGGCCCTGCAGCCCCCTCCGATGGGTGCTTCCACCCCCGCGGCCTCGCTTCCCCTTTTGGTCTCCGCTGCGGGGCGTCTTGACCCCTTCCAGGAAAAGGAAGGAAGCCGCGTGGTCCCGACGCGCGGAGTCCCCCGCCGCCGTCCACGGGCTCCTCGGGGAGACGCAGGCAGCGGACCTGAAATGCAGACGGGGCGCTCGGACCCTTGCCTGCCGCAGGGGAACAGCTCCCGGGCCCCCCGTGGGGCGGGGAGAGGAGGCCGGCAAACCCCGGCCCGAGCGCGGCGCGCGGCTGGGGAACCCGGAACCCGGGCGCCCGCTCGGTCCGCCTGCGCGCCCCCCGCCCCTGGCCTTGGCACCTGCCGCCGCGAGGCCGGGGGCCCTGGGGTCTCCCCCGCGGGGCCGCGCCGCCTAAGGCTTCCTGTTGTGGGGCGCGCGCCGCATCGCCATGGAGACCTCGGCAGGGCCAGGGAGGTCGCGCAGCAGAAGGGGAAGGGAGGGGGCCCCGGGGACGTTCGTGCCCTTCCTCCGGAGGATGGGCTGCGAGTCACTGGACAGCCAGGAACGCGTCCCTCCCCCCGCCCCGATCGTTCCTAAGGAATTTCCACGGGGATCTTTCTCCGCGGGGTGTGGCGGGTGCTGAATTCCCGCCCGGGACTACTTGGGCAGCGGTGCGCAGGGGGAACCGGGACGCGCTGCGCCTCGACGGGCCTGGGAAAATCCTGTGCGGGGTAGGGTCGGGGAGTATTTTCCGGGGGATTTTTCTCGGCCTCTCCTCGGCGGGTCCCTGGACCCCGGGCCGAAGTGCGCGGGCCGCGAGCTCCTCCGCGCGGCCCAAGTCTTCCTTGCAGCCAGAAAGGGGCCAATCTCTCTCCTCTCTCCCTACCTGCTGTGCAGTGTTTTATTGAGCGCCTGCTGTATACCAGGAATCCTTCCAGGTGTGCTAGCGACACAACAAGGATCAGAAAAGACAAAAATTGGGGCGCCTGGGTGGCTCAGTGGTTGAGCCTCTGCTTTTGGCTCAGGTCGTGATCCCGGGGGCCCCGGGGATCGAGTCCCGCATCAGGCTCCCAGGGGAGAGCCTGCTTCTCCCTCTGCCTGTTTCTCTGCCTCCCTCTGTGTGTCTCTCATGAATAAGTAAATAAAATCCTAAAAAAAAAAAAAGAAGAGACAAAAATTTCGCCATTGTGCAGAGATGGTTTTATAAGGTGGGGGCGTGGGGACAGACAAGAAGCAAAAATAAAATATATGGGGTGTTACCTTGTGATTAGTGCTGAGGAGAAATAAAACGAGAGGGAATAGGCAATGTGAGGGTTGATGAAGTTTTAAGTAGAGTACTCTGAGAAAGACTGAGGAGGTGACAGTTAAGCAAAGACCACAGGAGGTGAGAAGGGTGCTGTGACAGTATCAGGGAGGGAGTATACCAGACAGACAGTACTGAATGTGCAAAGGCCCTGAGGTACAGACAGCCAGGAGGCCAGTGTGGCTGGAGTGAAGTAAGGAAGGGAAGAGGAAAGGAGGGCAGGGAGGAGGTGGGGCAGGGGACCTTTGTCAGCCTGCAGGGAACTTTGGCTTTTCCTCCCAGTGAAGTGGGAGCCATGGAGAGTTCTGAGTAGAGGAGGGACAGCCCTGACTCAAATGTTTACAGGCACCTCCCTGTGACTGCAGGATCTATGTTCTGGGAGCAGGGAAGACAGTGTGGAAGCTGGGAGGCGGGAGAGGAGATGGTCCTTCTGAGTAATGATGGGGCCTCCCCTGGGCAGTGGCCCTGGAGAAGTGGTCAGATTTGGCATCCGTTTCGGTGGCAGGGTCAACTGCACTTGCTGGGACATAAGGACAGAACACTCAAGGAGGGCTTGTTGGTCCTGATATGAGCCAGCCCCTGGAGGGATGGAGAGTCATTTCCTGAGATGAAGACGGGGTGGTAATGGGGGACAGGTTGCCAAGAGCAGCATCCATCTCCTGGTCTTACCCTCCCTTTGTGTTTCCTTGAGGAAAAGGAAAACAGATCCTTCTCAAGCCTTCACTGAAGTTGCTAGGAAGGGCAGGGCTTCCTCCAGGGTGCCAGGCAGTCTCGGGCAGGCCAATCAATGGTCACTGCAGGCCAGAGGCTGTGGACACAGAGCAGAAGTATCCACACCTCACTCTGTGGCATTGGGCCTGCCCTCCCTTCCGTCTGCGCTCTGGCGTGGCCACATGGCCCGTCCTGACAGCTTCTTTTGTCTCTGAGCATTCTGAACATGCTGTTCCCCTGGCCCAGAATTTCTTTCCTACCATTTTTACAAAAGGCTCTCAGAGCATCTCATCCACAAAGTTCTAACAGGATTAGGAGCAGACTGGGATTTGAATCGAGGCTCTGAAACTCACCGGCTATTTTAGAATTTTTTTTTTTTATGATAGTCACAGAGAGAGAGAGAGAGAGAGGCAGAGACACAGGCAGAGGGAGAAGCAGGCTCCATGCACCGGGAGCCCGACGTGGGATTCGATCCCGGGTCTCCAGGATCGCGCCCCGGGCCAAAGGCAGGCGCTAAACCGCTGCACCACCCAGGGATCCCTCACCGGCTATTTTAGTGTAAATTCTCCTCCAAAAGTAACCCCCAAAACAAAACTTGGTATTCAGGCAGTTTATCTGGGAGGCGATCTCAAGAAACACCTGGGACGTAAGGAGTCAGGAAAGGTGTGCATGAGTGGAGTTACCTTTGGGGTCACTGAGGTTCAGTCTAATGCCAAGCACAGGATTGTCATAGGTAGACTATGCTCCAGGAATCTCAGCTCCCTCTAGTTCATTACTTCGTTTATTTATACTTACTTATTTGAAAAATTTTTAAGGATTTTATTTATTTATTCATGAGAGACACAGAGAAAGAGGCAGAGATACAGGCAGAGGGAGAAGCAGGCTCCCTGTAGGAAGCCCGATGTGTGACTCAATCCCGGAACCCCGGGATCACACTCGGAGCAAAGGCAGATGCTCAACTCCTGAGCCACCCAGGAGTCCCTTTTTTAGTTATTTTTTTTATTTTTTAAGTAGGCTCCACACCTAGTGTGAAGACCAACATGGAGTTTGAACTCAAAACGGTGAGATCGAGACTGGAGCTGAAATCAAGAGTCGAATGCTAGGATGCCTGGGTGGCTCAGTGGTTGAACATCTCCCTTTGGCTCAGGTCGTGATCCTGGAATCCGGGGATCAAGTGCCCCATTGAGCTCCCTGGATGGAGCCTGCTGCTCCCTCTGCCTGTATCTCTGCCTCTCTCTCTCTGTGTCTCCCATGAATAAATAAATAAAATCTTAAAAAGAATCAAATGCTTAACCAACTGAGCCACACAGGTGTCCCAAACTTACCTTTTTTTTTTTTTAATGGCCAAATGGCATTCCATCGTGTGTATATATATATCCATTCCACTAATGGACAGTTAGGTTGTTTCTCTGTCTTGAGTATTGTAAATAATGCTGCGGTACATGAAGGTGTAGACGCTTTCAAGATACTGACTTTGTTTCCTTCAGATAAATATCCAGAGGTTGGGCCACCTGGGTGGCTCAGTGGTTGAGCATCTGCCTTTGGCTCAGGGTGCGATCCTGGGGTCCTGGGATCAAGTTCCGCATTGGGCTCTCCGCAGGGAGCCTGCTTCACCCTCTCCCTGTGTCTCTGCCTTTCTCTGTGTGTCTCTTGTGAATAAATAAATAAATAACCTTTAAAATAAATAAATAGGGCAGCCCGGGTGGCTCAGTGGTTGAGCGTCTGCCTTTGGCTCAGGGCGTGATCCTTTGGTCCTGGGATCGAGTCCCACATCGGGCTCCCTGCATGGAGCCTGCTTCTCCCTCTGCCTTTGTCTTTGCCTGTCTCTCTCTGTGTCTCATGAATAAATAAATAAATAATCTTTTTAAAATAAATAAATAAATAAATAAATAAATAAATAAATATCCAGAGGTAAAATTGCTTTATCATATGGTAGTACCATTTTTAATCTTTTGAGGAACCACAATACTGGTTTCCAAAGTGGCTATGCCAGTTTACATTTGTATATATATAGGTTTAATTGAGACAAATTCGCATAATGTAAAATTTACATTTTTGCCTTTTTACATTTTTCTAGTATATTCACAATCTTGCACAACCATCACCGCTATTCGATTCTGGAATATTTCCATCACCCTCCCCAAAAACCTGGTACCCCCCTCCAATCCCCTTGGGCCCTGGCAACCACTGATAAACTGTCTTCATGGCTTTGCATATTCTGGACATTTCCTGTAAATGGAATCCCACACTCTGGCCTTTTGTGTCTGGCTTCTTTCCCTTAGCATAATGTTCAAAATGTTTAGCATAAAGGTTCATCCATGTTGTAGCAACTCTCGGTACTTTTTCC